ATAAACATATATATATATATATATATATATATATATATATATATATATATATATATATATATATGTATATATATATAATGAAAAGATAAGGCAATGAACAATAAAACTGAGAGTCAATAATAAAGATCTACACAGTACAATAAGAGTGCAATAACAGAACAGAGAATAAGGCAATCTACAATGAAATAATGTTTGCAACAAAGGTGGTAACCGGGGGATCTCTTTGTATCCCGAGGATCTCTTGGTATCCTCAATAAATATGCCAGGGATCTCTTGGTATCCCGAGGATCTCTTAGTATCCTCAATAACTGTGTCAGAGATCTCTTGGTATCCCGAGGATCTCTTGGTATCCTCTATAAATATGCCAGGGATCTCTTGGTATCCCGAGAATGTCTTGGTATCCTCAATAACTGTGTCAGGGATCTCTTGGTATCCCAAGGATCTCTTGGTATCCTCAATATGTAAGTGTCGGGGATCTCTGAGTATCTCGCACTATGTCCAGATCATAATTACGCATGGAGGATCTCCCGGGATGCCGTCCCGTAGTCCAAATATAAACACATAGCAGCAGCTCAAGGATATCAAAATATACTAAGTCCTTAACAAGTAAACAGTAAATACTAGCCAAAAATGCTTCAAGTAATGCAATTAAGACAGTTTAAGCAAATAGGCAATTAATACAACTAAGCATGCTCTTCTAAACCAACGCAGGATATATTTACAAGTAGAATAAGGCAAGTAGGAAAAGAACTCAGTTTGAACACTTAAAATAAAACCAGATTTTTCAACAATTAGCTCAAGTACGCGCCCGTCACCTCACGTACAAGGCATTCAATTACCAAATATCATATCCTAAGGGGAAAGGTCCCCCACACAAGGTTAGACAAGCCACTTACCTCGAACCGGCTCCAAAATCAACTCGAAACCACATGTTTTCTATGAGTATCTGACTCCAAATGGCCAGAATCTATTAAATTCAATTACATATAGTAAATATCATCTCAAGCAACTGATTCTACTATTTAATTCAAAGCCAGGATGCGAAATTAGGTAAAATAACCAAAATGCCCCTCAAGATAACGTCTCGGAATCGGATGAAATTAACATTTTCAGAACCCTCGTACTCTCACGAGTCTAACCATATAAGAATCTCTCAAATCGGAGGTCAAACACCCACTCAAAACTCAATAATTTACTCTATGAAGTTTTACCAATTTTTCATTCAAAATCCGAAATTAAAGGAGCAATTCGTGATTAGATTAGTGGGTTATAAGAAAAAAGGAGTATAGAATCGTTATCCAATCGTTGCCCCTGAAAACCCCTCGAAATCTCCCTGAAATCCGAGCTCCCAAGCTTGAGTTTTGGTAAAAATGGCTAAACCCTCGTTTTGAAACGTTTATATCTGCCCAGACTTTTAATGAATCGCGAACGCGGAGGAGGTCTCGCATTCCCGAAGAAGAAAAATGAAGGTTGCTCAATTTATGCTTCGTGAACGCGGAAGCACACTCGCGAATGCGGACGAGAAAATATAATGGCCCAGAATTGCTCTTCGCGAACGCGTGGCACTGTACGCGAATGCGAATGGTGGCCTTGCAAAGGTACGCGAACGCGGGAGGGGGGTATGCGAACGCGAAGAGGAAATTAGGCACAACCCTCAGCTCCAAATTACACTACGCGAACGCGAGGGCTATGCTGCGAACGCGAGGGCTATGCTGCGAACGCGAAGAAGGAAAACGACAAAGCTTCTTGAATGAGGGACTATGGGACGCGAACGCGAAGAGGGGGAAAGGTCAGATCTTCGCGAACGCAAAGAAGAAAATTGGTCTGCAACCGCTGAAGGATTTTCTGCAATTTTTCACAACTCAAAAATGCTCCATTGAGCATCCGAAACACACCCGAGGCCCCCGGGAAATCAACCAAACCTACGGACATATCCCATAACATCATTCAACCTTGTACCAATCCTTAAACCACCTAAAACAACGTCGGAAACTCGAATTAATCAATGATTTAAGCCTAAGAACTTCAAATTCTCTCAAAACACGCTTTCGATAAAAAACCTAATCAAACAACGTCCGAATGATGTAAAATTTTACACACACATACCAAAAGACATGACTAAGCTACTGCAAATTCCGGAATTCCATTCCGACCCTCGGATCAAAATCTCACTATCGGACCGGAAACTTCAAAAATTCAAACTTCAGCATTTGAAGCCTAAATTAGCTAGAACCTCCAAAACACATTCCGAACACGCTCACAACCCCGAAATCACTTAACGGAGCTAACGTAACCATCAGATTTCCATTCCGAGGCCGTCTTCACAGTGTTCCGACTACGGACCACTTTACAACACTTAAGCTCTCCTTTAGGGACTAAGTGTCCCAAAACTCTTCGAACCTCAAAACCGAACATCCCGGCAATTCAAATTAGCAGAAATAGACTTGGGGAAAGCAGTTAATAGGGGATCGGGGCGTTAATTCTTATGACGACCGGCCGGGTAGTCACATCCTCCTACACTTAAGCATTCGTTCATCCTCGAACGAGCATAGAGACATACCTGAAGTAGTGAAAAGATGAGGGTAAGGGCTGCACATATCCTGCTCGGTCTCCCAGGTTGCCTCCTCAACCGGCTGACCCTGCCACTAAACCTTCACTGAAGCAATGTTCTTTGACCTCAACTTTCTGACCTGCCTGTCCAATATAGCCACTGGCTACTCAACATTAGTTAGATCCTTGTCCAGCTGGACTGAACTGAAATCCAACACGTGTGACGGGTCACCGTGATACCTCCGGAGCATCGAAACATGAAATACCGGATGAACCCTTGCCAGGCTGGGAGGTAAGGCAAGCTCATAAGCAACCTCCCCAACTCGCCTTAATATCTCAAAAGGGACAATAAACCTCGGACTCAGCTTCCCTTTCTTCCCAAATCTCATAACGACTTTCATAGGCGAAACCCGAAGCAGAACTCGCTTTCCAACCATATAAGAAACATCACGAACCTTCCGGTCCGCATAACTCTTCTGTCTGGACTTGGCTGTACGGATCCTATCCTGAATCACTTTAACCTTCTCTAAAGCATCCTGAACCAAATCTATGCCCAATAACCTAGCCTCACCCAGCTCGAACCAACCCACCGGAGACCTACACCGCCTACCATACAAGGCCTCATACGGTGCCATCTGAATGCTGGACTGATAACTATTGTTGTAAGCAAACTTCGCCAATGGCAAGAACTGATCCCAAGAACCCCAAACTCCATCACACACACACGGAGCATATCCTCAAGAATCTGAATAGTACGCTCGGACTGCCCGTCCGTTTGAGGGTGAAATGTCGTGCTCAACTCCATCCGAGTACCTAACTCCTGCTGCACGGCTCTCCAGAACTGCGATATGAACTGAGTACCTCTGTCTGACATAATAGAAACTGGAATACCATGCAGACGGATAATCTCCCGGATATAAATCTCTGCCAACCGCTCCGAAGAATAAGTGGTGTACACATGAATGAAATGAGCGGACTTGGTCAGCCAATCTACAATAACCCAAATGGCATCGAACTTCTTCAAAGTCCGTGGGAGTCCAGATACAAAGTCCATGGTGATACGCTCCCATTTCCACTCCGAAATCTCTATCTGCTGGAGCAACCCACGCGGTCTCTGGTGGTCATACTTCACCTACTGACAATTGAGGCACCGAGCTACAAATCCAACTATATCTTTCTTCATCCGCCTCCACCAATAGTGCTGCCTCAAGTCCTGATACATCTTCGCGGCACCTGGATGGATGGAGTACCACGAACTGTGGGCCTCCTCTAGAATCAACTCCCGTAGGCCATCAACATTGGGTACACAAACCCGACCCTACATCCTCAATACTCTGTCTTCGCCAATGGTCACATCTCTGGCATCACCATGTTGGACCCTATCCTTAAGGACAAGCAAATGAGGGTCATCATACTGCCGCTCCCTGATACGATCAAGTAGAGAAGACCAGGAAATCACACAAGCTAGAACCCGACTGGGTTCCAAAAGATCCAATCTCACAAACTGGCTAGCTAAGGCCTAAACATCCATTGCCACAGGCCTCTCTGATGCTGGTAAATATGCCAAACTCCCCAAACTCTCCGCCCGGCGGCTCAAGGCATCAACCACCATATTGGCCTTGCCCGGGTGATATAGAATAGTAATGTCATAATCCTTCAACAACTCCAACCACCTCCTATGGCGCAAATTTAGATCCTTTTGCTTGAACAAGTGCTGCAAACTCCGATGGTCAGCATAGATCTCACAAGGCACACCGTACAAATAATGGCGCCAGATCTTCAAAGCATGAACAATAGAAGCTAACTCAAAGTAGTGGAC